TATATATATATATATATAATTACATATATATATATATATATATATATATATGTATATATATATATAAACATAAGCAGAAGGATACGCTGCTTTAGGCAGAAGGAAGAAACAGGAATAACGTGAGCTGCAGGAGTAGCACTGCTGAGCGTCTTTCGTGTAGAATCCTAGGGAAAAGCCAACAAATATAACAATAAAACAATAAATAATACAATTATTATATATAATAATATTAATAAATTCATTTTAAACAAAAAAAAACACAAAAAAAAACACACCCGGGGCAGCTAGCAGCTGCAACCGCGCAGCCATTTGCTTCGTTACTGCGGGCGGCTCCACCCCAAAGGAAATCAAAATTGCGTTGATAAAGGAAGGAACTTGCCACCTGAAACAAAGAAAAATAAAAAAATAAACAAAAAACAGAAAGAAATAAACAAAAAACAGAAAGAAATAAACAGGAAACAGAAAGAAATAAACGAGAAACAGAAAGAAATACACTAGAAACAGAAAGAAATACACAAGAAACAGAAAGAAATAGACAGGAAACAGAAAGAAATAAGCACGAAAGAGAAAGAAATAAACAAGGAAAAGACGGGAATACACACGTAAAACAAATAAATAAACAAGAAACAGAAAGAAAGAAAGACGAAAAAGAAAGAAAGGGGCACTATAAAGAAAGAAATAGAAAAGGAAAAGAAAGAAATAAACGGGAAAAAACAAAGAAATGAACACGAAAAGGAGAAAAAGAAACACGAAAAAGAAAAAATAAACACAAAAAGGAAAAACAAATAGACAAGAAATACGAAGAAGCAAACGCGAAAAGGAAAGAAATAAAAACGAAAAAGAAAGAAACAACAAAAGAACAAAAGAAAGAAACAAACAACAAAAAGAAACAAAGAAACAACAAAAAGAAAGAAAGAAACAACAAAAAGAAAGAAAGAAACAACAAAAAGAAAGAAAGAAACAACAAAGCGAAAAAAAGAAACAACAAGAAGAAAGAAACAAACAACAAAAAAAAAGAAAGAAACAACAAAAAAGAACCAAACAAGAAAAAGAAAGAAACAACAAACGAAAAGAAAGAAACAAACAACAAAAAAAAAGAAAGAAACAACAAACAGAAAGAAAGAAACAAAAAAAACAAACAACAAAAAGAAAGAAACAAACAACAAAAAGAAAGAAACAAACAACAAAAAGAAAGAAGTAAACGACACCACCACAAGAAGCAAAACTCGTGATAATCGAATCTCAATTTGAATTTTCTTTTTTCTTTTTAAAAACTAAAAATAAATTAATTTTTTTATAGCGAATAGCTATTTATAAATATTATTTTTGTTTCTCTTCATCCTATAAAAAAAAATAAATTTATTTATTTCACCTTTCATACTTAAGCCGACTCGCTTGCAGTGTATACACCCCAACCAACGATCTGTACATCAATTCACAAGAGGCCCACAGGGGGCCCCTCTCCCCCCACACACGGCAGGGGGGCCCCCAATACAGCAACTCTCCCCCCTCACCCTCATACTGGGGGCCCCCCCTCGGGGGGCCCCCCTCCTGGAGTTCCTCGCTACGGGGGCCCCCCTCCTGGGGCCCCCCTCC